ACGCGTAGTAATGCAACGCGTGGTAATCCTACGTATTATAATCCAACGCGTAGTGATGCAACGCTTGGTAATTCTACGCATAGTAATCCAACGCGTAGTAATGCAACGCTTGGTAATTCTACGCGTAGTAATCCTACGCGTAGTAATGGAACGCGTAGTAATCTGACGCGTAATAATCCAACACGTAGTAATCCAGATGGAACGCGTAGTAATCTGACGCGTAATAATCCAACACGTAGTAATCCAGTTTGTGGATATCCAACGCGTAATAATCCAACACATGGTAATCCAGCATGTTTCCAAATCCCGATTACACAGGTCTCATAAAATGGAAACGAAAGTTTCCTTATATTAATGAACTTTGGTTACTTGTGCGACATTAAATCCCAGATCGATGCTAGAAGAGCGTTCACTCCCACGTCAACAGGAACAAAATCAATGACTGTATCTTCGTTTATGGGTAAAACGTGTAGCAAACCCATGCCTATCAAAATGTGCAACAACGCAGGTCCTTTGTTGTTTCCGATCCACCCTTGGATTGGCTCCTCGTATGATGCTACGACTGTTCACAAAATAAGACAAATTGTATTAGAAATTTATGAATATAAGAATTTGAGAATGTAGAAGTTTGGAGACGTAGGAATTTAGGTACATGGGAATTTATGAATATAGGTATTTAGAGACGTAGGAATTTAGGTGTCTAGAAATATGGGGACGTAGAAGTTTAGGGATGTAGAAATATAGAGACTTGGGAATTCTGGGATCTAGCAGTTTAGGGACGTAGAAATTTAGAGACTTATGAATTTAGGTACCTAGAAATTTGAGGATATAGGAATTTTGAGACGTAGGCATTTAGGTGTCTAGGAATTTGGGGATGTAGGAGTTTAGGGATGTAGAAATATAGAGACTTGGAAATTTTGGGACCTAGCAATTTGGGGACGTAGAAATTTAGAGACTCATGAATTTAGGTACCTGGGAATTTATGAATATAGGAATTTAGAGACTTGGAATTTAGGTGTCTAGGAGTTTGGGGACGTAGAAATTTAAAGACTCATGAATTTAAGTACCTGGGAATTTATGAATATAGGTATTTAGAGACGTATAAAATTAGGTGTCTTGGAATGTGGGGACGTAGGAGTTTAGGGATGTAGAAATATAGAGACTTGGAAATTTTGGTACCTAGCAATTTGGAGACGTAGAAATGTAAAGACTTATGAATTTAGGTACCTGGAAATTTGAGAATATCTGAATTTTGAGACGTAGGCATTTAAGTACCTAGAAATTTGGAATATGGGAATCCCCATAGGAATATGGGGACGTAGAAATTTAGAGATCTAGGAATTTGTGAACATAGAAATATGATGACGCAGAATTATACAAACTGACTATACAAATGTTGGACCTAAATTTCTATGTAAAGAGTATAACAAACTTGAGTGTGGTCACTCTTGAATGCATCACGAATAAGATCAAATCAAGTTATTAATTGCATCTCACAAATAGAAAATACTTCTAAGAATTAAATTTTCTCAATATTCTTTTCACATTTTATTGCGAAACATATCATACCTATCGAAGGTCTATAGATCGAGCAAACAACCGATGTTTTTCGTGAGAAGTCATCGACGAGGCTTTCAGCAATGGATTTACTGAAAGTGTACGTGTTCACCCATTTTCCTAATATATCGCGCACCGATTGCTCGCTAATTCCGTTTGGTGTTGCTTCATCGCTCCGTATCATGTCCTCGACAACTTTCAAATCGCACGGGGGCGCGTACAATTTCTCTTCGATTCGTTTGTTGTACGAATGAGAGTACGCCGTTGAAACATATATAAACGCTTTCAAACGAGAACATTTTGCCGCCAAATCGAGCATGTACTTGGTACCCATCACGTTTATCTTCAAGATGTTAGACACTTTGGCGACGAAGGATACTTCAGCTGCATTGTGAATTATTATGTCGACGTTCTTTGTTAACAGCTGATAGTCTTCCAGCGAAATGTCCATGTTTTCTTTTAGCAAATCGCCGTAAATCGGTTGCACCTTTTTCATGAAATTAGGATTTGTTTTGCGCAATCTGTCGAACGCCTGAAGTCATAAATATTGAAATTTGTAATGTTGAATAGTTCATGAAGGTTAGGTTGCAATAATTAGATCGTAGTGCGGTTCGTGATTAAATATTGCGAATGAAATTGCGTCAATGGTTACTAAATAATTGACGCAAATAAATTTATACGTATAATTTTGATTTTGTACTAAAATGATTCCAGTGACTTTATAAGTCTTCATTTAGGACGAGAAATTTTATAATGTACCTAGTATGGATAAGTCAGAATAAATATATCTATACTATTTTTTATAAAAAAGAAAATAAATCTGTGCACGTAGGTATTGTAATTAATAGTTTAATAATATCCAAATATGTATAGTTAAATAAGTACAAACATCTCGAGGTATTGTGACACGAAAATTGTATTGGTCTCAAATTACCAAGGTCACTACGTATTTCTAATTATTCTCAATTAATTAGAGAAATAATCGAAGCTATTATATGGTAAGTGACATTATTAAAATTGGTAATTAATGTGATTAATAGTGTGAGTTTTAATTAAATTAATACTTAAGTATGACTAAACTTATGTGACTTTAATTAGAAAATTAGAAAATTAGAAAATTAGAAAGTTAGAAAATTAGAAAACTAGAAAATTAGAAAACTAGAAAATTAGAAAACTAGAGAACTAGAGAACTAGAAAATTAGAAAATTAGAAAATTAGAAAACTAGAAAATTAGAAAATTAGAAAATCAGAAAATCAGAAAATCAGAAAATCAGGAAATCAGGAAGTCAGAAAGTCAGAAAGTTACAAAATTAAAAAAATTCAAAATCACAAAATTACAGAAATTCAAAATTTGAGAATATAGAAAGTCAGTACAAGTATACAAAGCCAAAAAATTGTCAAACATTCCATTTAAAAAATCTACCACATATCACTGTTGAAGCCCAGGTTTTCACTCTCTTCTCTCATGACAATAAATGGCAGTAAATCCAAGTTGAAACATCTAATATTCCCTAACTGGGCAAATAAAATAACCCATAACAATCGCATATTTCTTTAAAAACGCTTGTAGGCTACTTACAGTATCTTCGAAGTATTTATTTATTCTCTCGTCCATCGTCATATTTTGCTTAGACCTGACCATCAGATAAATCTTATCAATATCCGTACATGTGTATAAAAGTTTCTCAACAATTCCCGTCCCGAAGAAACCAGTGCATCCTGTGAGTAAAATCCTCTTCCCAGCGTAAAATCGTCGTATCTGACCACCATTGTTCGAAGTCTTGTCCTTCGGTTGCCACATCTCACGATCCATTGCAAAATCTTATTTTATCGTTTACAATTTGTTTCGTTACTTTCGATTACTTTGAAAATGTTCTTCTCTCTAAGAAGAGAATTCACTCCAAGAATTCGTATATAAGGAGTATATTTTTCACAACTCAACTTTCATACTTTCCTCTAAATATTTGATGTCGATATATGAACGTGAAATACTAGACTAACACGCTCGCACTGCAAATTGTTACTTCAGAGTTATTTCCTACTTATATGGATCAATTATATCGAAGTTGCACGGTAATGGTTAGTTTCGTACTTTACACAATTTTGCATTTACTGTAAAATCATACGCAATTCATGTTTAATTCATAAAACGCTGATGTCAAAGCTGTGACTTAACTATATCTACCTTTCCGTTTCCCTCGAGCGACAAACAAAGTGAACTGCACTGTCGATCAAAAATACATCGCAGGCAGAGCTAAAAGTAGGAGGGAGAGTTTCATTAAAAAGTCATTAAGATTTATATTTGAAACTTCTTTATCTTAAACGACTAGTTTGAAAATAGTTTTTTAAACGACTAGTTTTGGTGCTACTTGGATTTATTACAGAGTCAATCACTTTTTTACGAAATAATCAGTAATTTTAATTAGAGCAATCGAATATACTGTGATCGAGACTTAAATTATAACTCTATTATACGTTTGATTAAGATAAAAAAGTTCATAATCATTACTACTTCTAGTAAAATAAAAAATAGTATTAATTGAATGACTGCAAGTTAATAATTTAGCACGTTAAAGGTCAATCGATTCTAGCACTGTCATTGAATAAATACGATTACTTTCAACACTCAGCGATAAAAGTAATGAATTTATGCAAGGTTCAGGTGACATAAATTCATAAGTGTCAGTTCTCTAATACACAATTGTTACTGCCATTCGTTAATAAGTTGAACAACTGCTACTGGAAAAAACTTGTCAGTCGTGTTCATAACATTAGGACAGGAGTCAGTAACCTGTTATCTGTTCTTCGAGTGATTCATTTCATAATTTCAAATGAATACGTGCACACTTACGTTTTTAACTTAAAAAGTATTATAATTATATTATAATTATGGATTGCTGATGCCTGTATTGAACTCTCTTGAAGACAGTGTACTTGTAAATGTAAATGCACTTTGTTTCTTTGTCACCACAATATCATTTATCAGTCAGCATATTCGGCGTTGCCTGTCATAAAGTTTATTTTCTTATTTCGCAATTGATATGTAAGTCACTTCGAAATCGTTTACAAACGCTATCCACTCTGACCGTTTAGTGTTACAACGAAAAATCTTACTTTTCTTAGTAAGAACCCTTATTTTAAATAGGTCTCAGTTCCTAACTACAGTTACCTTATGACAAAATTAACACGGACCTTGTTTTCCCTCACATATTTATTACACCAAAAGATTTGTATAAACAAATAGTTAACAAAATACTGAACTCATTGTTTTGAACACAAAAAACATTGCGAATACTAAGAAACAAGTGCAGATAGTATAATGTACCATCCTGAGCTTGCGAAATCTTTCCCTGGCTGCAGGAATGGAGTCTTTCGATTGTTTCATTAAATATGTTTTCATAGCAAGAGAAAAGTCATACATAAATTTATCCCAATCGAGTTTTCCCAAATCGAAAGGAAATTCTTCATAGTCAGCTTTATTCATATGAACGAGGATATTTTGGGTGTTTTCTACTTCGACAACCCAACTGTGACCAAAAAGATATTGTATCGTGGTATTGAATTGTGCTATCTTCAGCGTTAGCTGTAGGCCTCTGTAAAAATAAATATGGATTATCAGATTTTAAAGCATCAAAAATAGTAGTATTTGAAACTGATACTTAATGATACGAAGCTTAATCCTTTACGTGACTCGTTATGTTTATATTCCCTATTAACGACGTCTTTTCCATAAGCTACAAAGAACAGGGCAGAAAAAACGCAATTTCTTTATCGCTCTATACATACATACGTATACTAAGCAAAAGAAAGCGTTGCAATTTGAACTCTTTTCAACAAAAGTGAAAGTATTTAATTATGAGATATATTACAATTAATATAATTAATATATTTGTATCAAAATAAGAAGTTATTAAATTTAATCTACTAAATTTATAACCTAAACAAATTAATAATAAAATTCCTACATCGCCAATTCGACCACTAGAAATTGTTAATATACCAGCTTTATAAGCATATCTATTTTCATAGTAAATAACAAAACAGTATATATTTTTTAACTATATTATATATAGATAAAATAAATATAAATATTGAAATTCTAAATCGATTAAATTACTCACTGTCCTTTCTTTCCTGCAATCCAACAACCGAAATCATACACTGCTGCAGGAATAATGTTGAATATCACGGACAGTATGACGAAGAGATAATAATGCCTCGTGTATATCATAAATGGGTACCAGTACATATTGCTTAATGGATATTCTTCTAATCTCTTTATACTCAACATGTTATACGCTTTGTTGAAAAAAGGTTTCCAATGAGATGAACCATAGTTGTACACTTGTGGTCCATCAGATTTCCTAAACAAATCGGTGGATTAAAAACATACGGTGTTTGTTTATGCACGGAAATGCATACATTGTCGAAATAAAATGTTATAGTTTATATGATATTATAGTATCAAATAATGCTTGTATATGTGACAATTGCATCGTAATGAAACTAATAACGACATGATTCCATGAAAAATCGCGACGATATAATGAAAGTTCCCAAGTTTATCAATAAATTTTCCTTACTTGCGTGTACTCAAATCCCAAATGCATGCCAGCAGAGAGTTAACCGTCATATCAATCGGAACGAAATCAATGATAACGTCAGGTTTTATAAGCATACAGTGCATTATACCCAGGGCATATACAAGTGTCAGCCCGGGAACTCCAGTTACATGTGTTATCAACCCTGGTGTTGGTTCTTTGGCCGATGAGATAACTGTCACAAAATTAAAGGAATTAAGCGTCTTATTTTTTGATCACTTTTATCAATATATGTATACAATATATTGATAATGTTTGGTGTAATAAACTAGAGCGTACTATTATTATTAATTATATCTTACAAGTGGAAACATGTAATTTGTGTACTTTTCTCAGCAATCTTTTCATATTTTACTATATAAAAGGCAGCATAACGATGATCTTACTTATCGAAGGCCTATAGATAGCACAAGGGATCGTGCTTCTTCGTGCGAACTCCTCAACGAAGCCTTCGGCCATGGCTTTGGAGAAGGTATACGTGTTAAACCATTTTCCTAATACTTTGCGCAATGTATGTTTGTTGAACCCGTTTGGAATTGCTTCGTCGGCTTTTATCAAATCCTCGACCATGCGTATATCACCAGGGGGTGTATAACATTTTTCCTCGATTCGTTCGTTGTAAGACTGACTATACACGGACGAAACGTACACAAACGCTTGAAGAGTAGTGCACTTCTCCGCTAAATCAAGCATATGTTTGCTGCTTAACGAGTTTGTCTTCAAGATGGAAGATAATCTTGCCAAAAATGATGTGTCTCCTGCATTGTGAATAATTATGTTGACATTCTCGGTTAGGAGTTTGTAGTCTTCCGGTGAAAGACCCAAGTTAACATTTTGTAGATCACCGTGCATTGTGTGAATTTTTGACTTGAAATTGGGATTTTCCTTCTGCAGTACGTCGAAAACCTGCAAGCAACGCAAACGTCCGTTGAAAAAATGGGTGCCAATGGAAAACAAGAGACTGTAAAGGGGTGACACATGAAAAAGTTTGGTAGTTTTATACTTTTCTGCTAATAAGCAGATGAGGCACAGAGCACAGAATGTTCTCAGTAGGTTAAAGACAACTAATTGTTCCAAAGAAATTTACTCATATAAAATTCGAATAAGCAACACTGTTTAATATTTATGTCTCATACTTTCAAATATTATATACATGTTGCATTACACGCACACATTTCTTCTATGCTTTATGTAATATAATATTCTTTTTAGTTTCTTGTTCAAATTTGAATAATTTACCTATACATACGAAAGGACAATTCAAGCATTATTTAGTCACATTTGTGTCCGAAATGTATTAATTGCCTTCAGTCCTCCCGTACTCCAAATACGAATATAAAAAGTCTTAATGACATTATTTCCTATGGAAATTCAGGTGTTTCTTCATCTGAGGGACGTGACATTGAACATGTTCAAACAAATTATCGTTCAAGATAAAGAAATTTGAAGCACTTACAGGACTTCGGAAACATTTTTCCATTCGCTCCTCGGCTGACATTTTTCCCCTAGCCCTGACTATCAAGTAAATCATGTCGATTTCCAAACAAGTGCGTAAAAGCTTTTCCAGAATCGCTGCTCCTAAGAAACCAGTGCTCCCAGTGAGTAGAATCCTCTTTCCAGCATAGAACTGTCGTATCTGACTTCCATTGTTCCAGTCCATGTTTCCTCCAATTTTTCCAGTTCTCTCTAAATGCAACATCTCGCTTACGTTGTCCCTCATATAGCTCATTTGCTTATTTCACAATTGCTTCGTAAGTCACTTGAATATAATTTTCAAACGCTATCCAGTCTGACTGTTTCGAAGTTAGTTAGTTTAGAAGTCAACTATATTTCTGTAGAATTTTTGTTGTGTTACAAGAACACTAGCGTTTGTCCCGATGGCGGCCGTTGCTTTAAACTTGTACGGGTCACTTGTCATATTATATAAACTTGATATGACGTTGTACACCTTTTTTCCTCTTTGGGTTTTTCTAACCAGAACTATGTACCATATTAAAATATTACAAATGGATTGTATCTGTACCATGCACGCACTTTGAAAATGTTTGTGCTTATTTATCCCGCGCAGTGACGCAGGGTTGCATTAAAAAAACATGTTATGAATGAAGTATTACGCTTGTAGAAATGAAAGTAGTGTGTTAGTAGGGTTAACATATTTTGGGTTAATTTAAGGGTTAATTTTTATCTTTAAAGAAATATAGTAAAAAGAAATCGTGGTACTCTCGATCAGGTGATGCTTCTTGTAGTATATGTATAAGAGGAAGTAGAAAAATCATATTTTTTTGTATTTTTTTGTTTTCGAAAAAACTTTGCAAATTCCTGAGAATATTGGAAGTAAATTATAATTGTCTATATGAGACCCTGCCTTTTGATCGTATTATTTACTTTATGATACCAGCGAAATAGTTGTTTAACTGATGAACCGTAAAACAGCTATGTAAACGAATGTATTGTTATCTTGATAGAATTAAATTGATATTAACATCATACAGTAAAAAAATATCGAGCAAATATTAATGTATTTTTTTCATTTGTATTCTGTTCGTTGTTGACACCTTATTCTACGTCAATTGCAGAATATGCAAAAGTATTCTGTATGAAAAATTCATGTATTTGTTCTTTTCCTATTTTAAGCTAAAGATTTTAGAGGTACGGTCATATATTACTTCTTTAATGATTATTTTATGCTGATATATTATTGCAAAATTTAATGCATATATGCACAGAAGTGCAATAATATATCAATCATTTAAAAATAGTAATCTCAAATGGTGGAATGGTAAAATAGAAATCTCTCGCACGTTATTTACACGTCTGCGAATAATTTCCAATAGGTACCACATATCTATCACAATCTTGTCGATTTCCAAACAAGTGCGTAAAAGCTTTTCCACAATCGCTGCTCTTAGGAAACCAGTGCTTCCAGTCAGCAGAATCCTCTTTCCAGCATAGAACTGTCGTATCTGACCACCATTGTTCCAGTTTATGTTTCCTCCAATTTTTCCAGTTCTCTCTAAATGCAACATCTCGCTTACGTTGTCCATCATATAGCTCATTTGCTTATTTCACAATTACTTCGTAAGTCACTTGAATATAATTGTCAAACGCTATCCACCCTGACTGTTTCGAAGTTAGTTATTTTAGAAGTCAACTATATTTCTATAGAATTTTTGTTGTGTTACAGGAATACCAGCGTTTGCCTCGATAGCAGCACATGCTTTGTACTTATACGGGTCACTTGTCATATTATATAAGCTTGACATCACATTTAACAACCTTTTTTTTCTTATCGTTTTTTATAACTATAAATGCATAAAATATTTCATTACTACGTATGGATAGCATCTTTATGCTTGTTGCCATTTTTTCCATAATTTGTCCGTATCTGATTACGTCCTCTGCCACTTCTGATCATTTCAAAAGTATTTCCCTATTTTTAGATGAACTTTTAATAAGCCGATTTTGATTCGTTTCTGACGTAGCTTCATGTTCTTAATAAAATGCAGTCATGTATGATTTTAGTGCACGAACTTTAAGTAAAAAGTTCTTCTCGATTACTTTCCATCCACACGTTGTCCAACGTGTTGAAAGGAATTATTCATTATTACCATAAAATATTACACGTGACTAAGCTGTTTCTGCTACTACGCAAAATCGTCAATGCGGATAATACAGATTTTATGTGTTTACCTACTTCCTTTGTCCTTCATTTCGCGCATAAGTGCCATACTGTGTGAACAAGAACCTGGCATAAAAAGAAAAATATGAATGCAAAAGTAAAACTTTATTAAGTGATTAGCTTGACTGTTCGAGAATAATTCTTTAATTATATCAGAAAATATTATGAAGCAATCAGATGTACAAAAATATTTTATCTTAATACAAAATGGTGGTGTTCATTGGCGCCTTCTAAGATAACAATCAAAGTAGCCTGATTTTTACTTTTGAAATTCCTTAAGACTTGTAAGAAATACTTTTAGAAATATAGATTAAGCTAAAAAAAGTACAATTAGCTGCTATAATGAACATATGTATTTGCATTCAACGATAGATTTGTAAGAGCGTAATTTGCAAATATATTATAATACAAAACTGATTTTATGTGCTTTGAAACCAATTCCTGCGATACGAGGCGTGACCCAAAAGAAACGAGACTGGTCCAATAAATCATTGTATCTTCAGAATCAGTTCTCCGTGACATTATCACCTTCAAAGTAGTCCCCTTCAGCATTCACACACTTATACATTGGGCGCTGCCATTGCTGGTAACAATTCTGAAACGAGGTTTTTGGAAGTCCCTTCAGAAGATTCTCCGTTTCTGCCTGAACCTCTTCAACTAAGGTGAAATGGGTAGGAAATAAAAAAAGTCGCATGGAGCCAAATCAGGGGAATAAGGAGGATACCCCATCACAGTAATATTTTTGCTGGTCAGAAACTGCTTGACAGACCGTGCCGTGTGAGCGGGTGCATTGTCCTGGTGCAACAGCCATCCATCGCTCCACAACTGTGGCCTTTTTTTCCTAATTTTTTCATGAAGTCTTTTTAATACTTCAATGTTATAATGTTGGTTAACAGTCTAACCACTGGGAAAACACTCAATCATTACAATTCCATTAATGTCGAATTTTGATTTTGACATGCGTGCGTTTTTGGGTTTTGGGGATCCTGGAGACTTCCACTGCATCGACTGGCGCTTACTTTCTGGGTCATAGGTAAAAATCCATGTCT